ATGACTGCCTCCTGGTCCAAGTATAGGTTTCACATTAGAATAATCAAGTGTTCTGGGATTCCCATTCTTCTCAGACTTAGCCACAGTTTGTTGTGATCCACGCAGACACCTTTGCATAATCAATGAAACACAGATATACATTCCTCTGGTATTCCTTGCTTTCAGCCAAGATCCATCTGACATTAGCTACGATATCCCTAGTACCATGACCCCTTCTAAATCCAACCTGCACTTTTGGCAGTTCTCTGTTGATGTGCTGTTCCAGTCATTTTTGGATAATCTTTAGCAGAATTTTGCTTGCATGTGATGTCAATGATCTTTACATTTCTAAGTAAGAAGTCTATATTGCTAATATTTCCTTTATTTTTAAGATAATATATATATTTTCAGAGTCATTGTGGAATTTAGTTTTCCTTATCTCCTCTTTTCTAATTTCCCAAATAGTATCCTATTTTTATTAAATTAATATTGTGTTTACATTTAATTAGAATGCAGATATTGTTCATAAGTGAGTAACTTCTTATTCTATGAAAATATTCTTTCTATATGTTTATCCCCATTGGGTAAATAATTATTTTATTTAATTTTCTCAGTCTTGGACAGAACTGTAAAACAATCCCTCAGAATGGTAATCAAAACCCATCAGATAGTTACCACTTTCAAAGCACCTTTGAAAGCACCGTTCCTTCTGCTTTAATTGAAATTGTTCCTTTCCTGTCTGGTTGCGGAACAGTGTTCTGTGACTGCTGTTCATCATCATCTAGGGAAATTGCCTGCCTTCTTTATTGGATCCTCCATATTCTGGATGCATCCATATATATTTTTTGGATTTATTATTTTTGTTTTGGTAAAACACATTTCCCCCTAGCTTTCTGAGAAAGCATAAACTCTGAAGCCACATACTGTAAGTTCAAATATTTACTTCTGTATATCATAGCTGTGTGTATTGATCAGATTACTTAACTTCTTTGTATATCTCAGTTTTCTCATCTTAAAATAGAGATACTTAGGCCTACCTCAAAAAAAAAAAAAAAAGAAAATTCTTTGTGAGTACCTGGCACATAGTAAGTAAGTGCTCCTACAACTATTAACCATTATAATTCTTTTTTGACGGTATCTTCTGTGGTACATTTTCATATTTTCTTCTGAATGAATTTTTCTGTGATTTTTTTTATGATGGAGAGATTTTTTCTTATGTAACTCCTGATCTCTAGCAAGTTGTGTGCAAGGAATAAGAAAGTGAAATCTCTTTGGGGTCTCAATGAGTTACAAGCGACTCTGTGGCACATAACAACATAAAAGAAGCAGAAATACAGCCTATCTTTCAGGGCCAGAGATTCTTATACCAGCTAGACCATTAGGAGAGCAGTAGCAGCAGCAGCAGCAGCAGCAGCAGCAGCAGCAGAGAACCAGAGACCTGACATGAAACAGAGATGGCCTTGGGACTACTGCCCCATGGAACGAGACCTAGGAGCTTTCACCCAAGTTTGTTGGACTAGGATGGGGGAGCCATCCATAATTGCCACGATTAAGGGCTTTGTAAGAGTGATCTAAAGTGTAACAGTGATCTAAAATGAACCTGAAGTCTGAAGAACATGTGAGCTTTGGAAGTGGTTTCCTGACTGAGAAGTTGTATCCTGTTTCCAACTGAATTTGTATCCTGTTAACTTACCTGATTAATCCATAATTTTACGGGTGCTCTGTGTGGTATTACAGTGGCTTTTGGATCTAGTAAATCAGTAAAATTGGTGCTGGAGTTAGTAGAAAAAGATGTGGGAGCATGGGGGAACATGTCTGATCCCATGAGAATTGCCTTCATGCTTTACATGTTGGTGGGAACAGGTCTGCTTTGTAGAGCTGGTAGAAGTCAAACTCAGCTGTGCTAATGCAGCTCTTGCTCCTTTTATGGACATCAAACTTTGTGAAACTCAGATTAATTCAGAAAATCCCTTTTGAATCAATGATGATGAGTGATTGTAATAAATGCTATAAAATTAATCTTTGGCTAACCAAAAATGCAACATTAATTGAGTTCTAAGGTAAGCAGAATGTTATTAAAATGATCAAAAGTAAGTCATTTGTAGTGAAGTGGCAAAATACCAAAGACTAAGAAGCATAGTTGATTGCAAAGCATTATTGTTGTTGTTGATAGGTGCCATTGAGTTAAGTATGACTTGGAGTGACCCTATGAAGAACAGATCTGTCTGAACCCTGCCCTGTCCTAGGTCATGCTTATAATCTCTGATACGCTCCAGCCCATTGCTGCAGCGTCATTCCCTCTAGTTGAGGGTCTTCCTCTCTTTAGCCGTCCCTCCACCTTTCCAACCATGATGTTCCTCTCCAAGGAATAGCCTCGCCCAGCAATCAGTATACCTGAAGTAGATGAGGGGAGGCTTTATCATCTTTGCTTCCAAGGAGCACTCTGGCTGGACTTTCTCTGAGAGAATATTTGTTCTTTTGACAGTCCATGAATGGGATTTGCAGTAGTTTTCTCCAGCTCCACAGTTCAAAGACATCAATTTTTCCATCATCCTTATTCATTGTCTGGCTCTCAGCAGCATAGCAGATTATAGAAAAGACCATTCATCAGGTGCATCTTAGTCCTCATACTGACGTCATTGTTCCTCAATAATTTGGAGAGGTCTCTGACCGACCACACACTTTCCCCATGCAGTCTATCTCCTTATCTTCTTCTTCTTTTTTTAACAAAAGTTTATAGAAAAATTGGATTTTCACTTATTCTTTGTTGTATATTTCCCTCCCTATTCCCCCCAAGTTCACTTAAAAAAAATCATTCATTGTTGCCATACTTTCTCCCTGTCCCCAGTCCTCTTTGCTATAATGCCTAATCATATATTCCTTTTAAATAGTTCTTTTCTTCATCTGTTCCAATACAGTCTTCATTATTTATCCCCTTTTTGTAGTTTTCTCCCACTCACCATATCAGTCCTGTTTTGTAATAGAGGTGTTAGGCAATATTGATCTTTTTGGGACTGAGATATTTCACTCAGCATAATGTCTTCCAGGGTCAACCATATTTTGTAATATTTTATGAATTCCTTGTTTCTTGTTGCTGCATAGTATTCCATTGTGTGAATATACCATAGTTTTCCTATCCAATCATTTGTTGATGGGCACTTGGGATTTGTCCATCTCTTTGCTCTTATGAGTAGCACAACAGTAAACATGGATGTACATATATCTGTTTGGGTGGCAGCTCGGGTCTCTCTGGGCTATATTTGTAGTAGTGGAATTGCTGGGTCAAATGGTATTTCTATTTCCACATTTTTGAAGAAGCTTCAAAATGTCTTCCATAGTGGTTGCACCATTTTACACTCTTACCAGCAGTGAATAAGGGTTCCAATCTCTCTACAACCTTGCTAGCGTTTTGTTGTTTGCTTCTCTGTTGAACTTTGCTATTGTTTACTGGTTTGAGATGATATCTCATAATTGTTTTGGTTTGCATCTGAGAGCTAGGGATTTTGAACATTTGTTTCTTCATGTGTTTGTTTGCCATCTGAATGTCTTCTTTGGTAAAATGTCTATTCATGCCCTGTGCCCATTTTGCAGTTGGGTTGTTTACCTTTTCCTTGGTAGGGTGCTGGGGTATTCGATAAACTTTAGATATGAGTCCCTTATCAAATACGTCATTACCAAATATTTTTCCCAATCTGTGGATCTCCCTTATCTTCTGACTACTGGAACTAAGTGTAGTGATTGTGAATCCAAGTAAGATGAAATCATTGGCTGTTTTAGGGTTTTCTCCATCTATCATGATGTAGCCTATCAATTCAGTGTTAAACGTTTTTGTTTTCTTGACATTGAAATACAATCCACATTGAAGGCTGCAAACACTTTAATGGACGATTTTCTGCAGCACGTGCTTCAAGTCCTCTTCAGTTTCAAGCACGGTTGTGTTATCTGCATAATGTAGGTTATTGATGAGTCTCCCTCTGATCCTGCTGCCATATTTTACGTAGAGTCTAGCTTCTTGAATAATTTGCTCAGCATACAGATTGTATAGGTATGAAGAAAGGATACAGCCTTAGTTCCATCTTTCTTAATATTAAATCATCTAGTGTTCCCTTGCTTTGTTTGCATAGTAGCCTCTTGGTCTAGATGTTGATTTCACGTGAGCCCGATGAAGTATTCTGGGATTTCCAGTCTTCTCAATGTTAGCCATATTTTGTTATGAAGCCAAAACAAAGGGAAGAGATATTGAAGTGTAAGAGTTGAACAGAAGACTTCAAAGAACAGCTTGAGAAGACAAAGCATACTGTTATATTGGTTTGGCAAAGAGTTCATTTGTTCTTAGAAATATTTAAAAATGAGTTAATGTGATTTAATAAGTATAATTTGTATTATTTTACATTTAATATTGTAATGTGCATATTTTCCTTGTTATGAAAAGTTCACTCAAAACATGATTTTAAAAGCTGCCTGCATATTCCATTGTTTGCATTGACCATGAATGAATTTATCTCTTTCTTTGTTGATAGATAATTAAGTTGCTTGTTAAATATTTGTTTTGCCCCTGAAAATGAAAAGCTGTAGGCTTAAAAGTGTGAATTAGCAGAGAAGTGACTGTAAGATACTGAGGGACTATTGTATTGATCAGAATGTTAAAAGTATAAGAATAGTGTGTTGAGTTTTTTATTAAGAAGAGAAAGAGTGATTCAAAGAAGAAGAATTATAGTTTATAAAACCTGGACTTTAGTGATGTGTTAAAGAAACCAAAAGCAATTTAGTGTCATTGACTTATGTAAATTAGTATGGTAAAAGAATATTTTTTCCTTAGATGTGAATAAATCTTAGATATATCTTATTGATTTTTAGTACTAACATGACATTTTATATTTGGAAGACACAGCTTTGACTTCAGATTGATTTGTTCTTCCTCAGTTGTAATATTGTGCTAGCTATTACTTTGGGGGAAAAATAATGTTTTCTTTAAATATGTATGTATTTTCACTAGATTTACTGTACTTTTTTTATTACAGGCCTTTTTGCAAATGTGTAATTTGCCTGTCAAAGTGGTTTGTAGGTCAAATGCAGAATATATGTCACCATCTGGTAAGTGTGATGTTTCTTTCTTTTTTTTTTTCTATAATTATATTTTATTAATTTTCATAAACATTTACAGAGATTTTGGGCATCCACTCATTCATTGTTGCACTATTCTCTCTACCCTCCTCCCAGTTTGTTCTTGTCCAAATGCCACAGTGCTTGTCAAAGCCAGTTCTGATTAATCTTCTTTGTCAGTGTATCCTTTGCCATTCCCTATCACTCCTCCCTGAGAGAGACTTCACCCTGAGTCATAAGGAAAAGGGGACGGCGTATTCTCTTAGCTACTTCCTGCTGAAAAGGGACGCTGTGGGTTTCAGGGTGAAGATCTTCTCTCACTACTCTAAAGGGCCCCTTTGGCAGTAGGAAACACATAGACTGTTATGGAGATTGATTTTGGAATTCAGATGCACTCTTATTGATTGTGCTTGGCTGTACATGTACATATCCTTCAAGATGTATCATGGGGGTGTTGCAACCTAGAAGACACAAATTTGACTAACAAGGTATAAGTACATGAGTCCAAAAATTATGGAAAAGTAAAAGAAAAGATTCTTTCATTGTTTTACAAACCCTTCCCCAGGTCCCCTCCACCATGCAGCCCTCGCTCTAGTCTCCTGTGATGACAGAAATACCCAGTTACATCTCTCTTTTAAACGGTTCTCTCCCTCCTCTGTTTCAGTGCAGTATACATTATTGAACCCATCTTACTCAGTCTCTCCCCAACCCCAAGGACAGTCCCATTCTACAACAGTGGCATCATGTAATATTTGTCCTTTTGTGACTGGGATATTTCACTCAGCATAATGTTCTCCAGAGTCAACCATTTTGAATAATATTGCATGTGTTCCTTGTTTTTTAATGCAGCATAGTATTCCATTGTGCGAATATACCACAGCTTCTCTAGCCATTCGTTTGTTGATGGGCACTTAGGTTGTTTCCAACTCCTTGCTATTGTGAACAAAGGTGCAGTAAACATGGGTGTGCATATATCTGCTTGGATGTCAGCTATGGTCTCTTCAGGGTATATTCCCAGTAGTGGAATTGCTGGGTCAAATGGTATTTCTATTTGCAACTTTTTGAGAAAGCGCCATACTGCTTTCCACAGGGGTTGCACCATTTTACACTCCCACCAACAGTGAATCAGGGTTCCAGTTTCTCCACAACCTCGCCAGCATTTATTGCTTGCTGTTCTGTTAAATTTTGCTATTTTGACTGGGGTGAAATGATATCTCATAGTTGTTTTAATTTGCATCTCTCTTAGGGCTAGGGATTTTGAGCATTTCTTCATGTGTTTGTTAGCCATCTGAATGTCGTCTTCGGTGAAGTGCCTATTCATATCCTGTGCCCATTTTTCTATTGGATTATTTACCTTTATCTTGTTGTGGTGCTCAAGTATTTCATAAATTCTGGATATAAGTCCCTTATCTGATATGGTATTACCGAATACTTTTTCCCAGTCAGTGGCTTCCCTTTTTACCCTACTGGAGAAGTTTTTGGATGTGCATAGGGATTTGAGTCTTAGAAGGTCCCATTCATCTATGTTATCTTCTCCTGGTGATGTTTCTTTCTGTTATTATATTCTACATTGGTAAAATTAGTGAAAGCCCATTTTGTACTTCATTGTTAAAAAATGCTTATTTTTAAAAATCTTTTGAAGATTTTTATGAAATACAGTTTGCATACTTATCAGTTTTGGCATGGAGATACCTACTTATTTCAATACTGTGATGAAAAATGGTTAATGGGGCTCTCAGCTGGATGCTGCTGTGTCAGCACGCGGGAGCCCGGGTTCGAACTCGAAATAAACTTTGTTAATTCGGCTAAAAGAAAGAAAAAAGGTTAATGGGATGTTATGAATATTGTTTTAAATATTAAACATTAATATTTAATCTGATCTCCCTAGCCTAAATTATTACTTAAATCTTAAGATTTTGACTCATTGGGAGATGGCACCCCTAACCTACTAGTTATTCATGGATTAGCAGCAATATGGGGAAAACCAACTGCCCATGCAGACATGGTTAATGTGTTATAGGGCATTTCAAGCAGATACTCCCATCTATTGCACTCACCTCAGTAGCAACAGGATGGAAATGCTATAAGTGAATTTGGGCAGTTCAAACCCATGTTGTTCAAAGGTAAATTATATGCAGATTTTCAACTGTATAGGAGATTAGCTCACTTAACCCTTGTATTTCTCAGTGGTCAGCTGGAAATATTAAATGTATTTCATATAGATTGTTGTTGTTGTTGTTATGTGCTGTCGACTCGTTTGCGACTCAAAGGGACTCTATGTACAGTAGTCCTAAACTTTGCTCTAACCTGTGCCAATAGCACTATCTCTGACACACCCATCCAGATTACCCCAGTCACTGAATCAATGGACCTAATGGAGGGCCTTCCCCTCCTGCCCTGTCCCTCCGCCCTACCAAGCATGATATCCCTCTCCAAGGACCAGTCCCTCCTTACAACACTTCCAAAGTATGATAGACAAAGCCTCAGAATTCTTGCCTCCAAGGAGCCGCCTGGTTTAACCCTTTCCAGGATGAATCTGTTTTTCCTACTAGTTCATGGTACCCTCAATACTCTTCTCCAGCACCACGGCTCAAAGGCATCAATTCTCCTTCTATCCTCCCTAGTTATTGTCCAAATTTCTGATGCATAACAAGTGATTGCAAAGACCATGGCCTGTATCAGACGCACCTTAGTCTCCAGGGAGACACCATTGCTCTTCAGTACTTTGGAGAGGTCCCTAACAGCAGACTTTACCATCACAATACATCTTCTCATTTCCTGGCTACTGGTGCCAAGAGTGTTGACTGTGGAGCCAAGCCGACTAAAGCTGTGAACAATCTCAGAATCTCTTCATCATCCATCCTGATGCTGCCAATTGGTCCATTGGTGAGAATCTTTGTCTTCTTGACATTGAGCCTCAATCCATATTGATGGCTTCAGTTCTTGACTCTCTGTAGCAAGCGCTTCAGGTCCTTCTCAGTTTCAGCAAGCAGGATTGTGTCATCTGCATAATGCAGATTGTTGATAGATCTTCCACCAATCCTGACCCCACATTTCTCCTCATAGAGCCCAGCCTCCTGGATAATCTGTTATGCATACAGGTTGAAAAGGTAGGTAGATAGGACACTTCCTTGGCATACACCCTTCCCAATTTTGAACCATGCAGTGTTTCCTTGCTCTGTTCTGACAACTGCCTGTTGGCTCAAGTGTAAGTTTTGCATTAGCACGATCAAGTGTTCTGAGATTCCCATTCTTCTCAGAGTCAGCCATAGTTTGTTATGATGCACACAGTCAAACGCCTCTGCATAGTCAATGAAGCACAGATATACATTCTTCTGCTATTCCCTGCTTTCAGCTAAGATCCATCTAACATTAGCTACCATATCCCTAGTACCACGACCCCTTCCAAACCCAGCCTGGACTTCTGGCAGTCCTCTGCTGATGTGCTGTTCCAGTCGTTTTTGGATAATCTTCAGTAGAATCTTGCTTGCGTGTAAACTCAATGATATTGTTCTATAGTTTTCACACTCTGTTTGGTTACCCTTATTTGGGATGGGAACAAATATAGATCGCTTCCAGTCAGTTGGCCAAGTGGTTGTTTTCCACTTACTATAATTAATATTGATGAACAATGATAACTTAGAGAGCCACTCCTTTATGAGTAAATCCATTGAGTATAAGGATTTGATGTAAATGCTGCTTTACTTTTTCAAAAATTAAGTTTAATGAAAGTTGACAGAGACTTAGGGTTTCCAGTCATTCATTATTGCACTTTTCTCCCTGCCCATGCATAACTTTTTTAGAGATACTTTTGTTTATTATGTTTAAACATTCTTAAGTGGTAATAAATTTTCAAAAATTGTAGAAACATGCTTGCCATATGCACAGAAAATTCTGTGTGAACACATCTATATTTATAAGTTTTAGACTATACCTTAAAAATTTCTATAATACAATTTCTTCTTAAAAGCTTAAACATGTCATATTTTTGTAGGTCATTCATTAACTCACATTGTGCTGATATTATACTTAAGTTTTTATAAACTCTCTTTGAGTTCTGACCAAATGAATCATACTATTGTCTGTCCATCTTTTTCCTCTATGTAGTCATACAAAAAATTTGCTTCTTCTTGTTGATTGCCTTCGAGTGGAACACTACTCATAGTGACCCTATGAACAAAAGGCCTGAAGCCACACTACATCTAGCGACATTTATCAAAGTTCATAGTTTCCAGAGGCATGTTATATAACAAGTGGATGCCACTCCTTTATAAAAAGGTTAATAAGCTAATAATAAAGGAAAAAAGTCTTTGTCAAATTAGTTAAAGTCTTAAAATTGAGATGTTTGCTAAAGTGATTGTACTGAATATTATCTAGGTAGTTACTTATCTTCTTTCTGTAGATTTTGTGAGAGACACATAGTTAAATGGTACAGAAGCATGTATACAGTTATAGCAACCCCTGTAGATAGATGAGATTGCCACTTTCTAATACAATGTTTACATTTTATCATAAATGAATATTTCCTTTCATCATGCGTTTTGGATGATTGGGGACACTTATTTTTTAAACTTGCTTATTTCATCTTGTGGATTTTTTTAAAGCAGAGAGTAGCGTAGAATAGACTGCTTAGCTAAAAAAATTGTTTTATGACTTTGTCACATATTAACTGTGTCCTTGGGATTTTTTTTTTTTATCCCTGAGCCTCAGGACTGTAAAATGAAGTTTTTTGGATTAGGTGACATTCAAAATCTAGTCTCGGAATCTATAAACTTGCTTGGCAACATGTTATTTTCTTTAAAAAAGAAATTATAAAAATTACTATTCTGTCTACTGTGTATGTAGGGAAAATGCCCCTCCTTCAGTTTTCTTGATATTAAGATTGACCTTTGACTAGTGTTTGCCTGATTCTTGGCAATTATAAGGTGTACCACTGGTTTCAAGTCAAGCTAATGACAAACGTTATTCATCACTTCCAATTAGAAAATGATAAATTCTTGCCTTAAAAATGTCAAACCTCCAGGGGAGCTCTGGTGGCCTAGTGGCAAGGAGCTGCAACTACATTCCCAGAGGCACACGGTTCAAGTCCACCAGATGCTTTGCCGGGGAAGGAGGCACAATCTCCTCCTGTACCAGTCAGATCCGATTTGACGGTACACACACACAAAAATAATAAAATAATAATAATAAAAAAATTTTAAAAAAATGTCAAACCTCCAAAATATTCTTTATTCTAGACACTCATCCATAACAAGCTTTCATTCTCAGATTATTTTATGTTAGATAGTGTACAATATTTATAGCATTGTACTAATTATAAGATTTATAAGGAGGTAGAAGAAAAAGACTTACAGAATTTAGTGCTCTTATATTGGTAACATGGAAATGTCTTCTAAACTCATCTATTGAATTATTGTATTCCAAAAGCCCTGCCTTTCCTCTGTTAATGTTTGTTATGCTATGGATGCAGATGAAGCTTTTGTTGATGCCGGGTACCTCATCCATTACTCTTAGGCTTACTGAGCCAGAGGAGGAATTCTATTGAAAAGGAGCATGAAGAAGAAGCCTGCTGTTAGTGTGAACTCTGTTTGAACTAGGTCTGACAGCAGGTTTCATCCTGTGGAATTTGATATAGACCTTCTTGCTATTTCGAGACTACTTTATTCTCATCATCTCTATTAATTTCATCAACTATTAGTATATTATAATGAGTTACTAAATATGCCATTTATTGAGAAGTTAGTCTTTATGAGTTTGTTACTTGTTTTCTCATGTATTGGGAACATAATTTATGTTACTTCACAAACTAGCATAACTTCAAAGGTTTTTTGTTCTTTCACTTCTGATAGTTTGAACCAGAGAACATTTATTAATGTTCTAGTATGTGTTTATAAGATGTCCTTAAATGGACATCAGATATTTTTAGAAGATGTAAAAGAGAAAGTTTCTTAAATGTAGTTTAAAATTCATATTGATTGATTGAATCTTTATACTCTGAGGAGAGAGCACAGTTATATTTCTTTGAAATGTATCAGTGTTCATGAACCAATGTCTTAGTTTAGTGATTTGGATAATTAGTACTTATTGCTCTGTAGTGACTTGCTCTGTTAATTCTGAAAGGGAATATTGCAGTCTCTTGGTATTTGCAAGTGAAGAATCAAGAAATGAACCTACATTTTCCTCTGCTTTAAAAGTTAGTCAGTAATCCCATCTACCCAGGGCCATCAAGTTGATTTCAACTCATAGTAACCTTTTAGGACAGTAGATGTGCCTTGTAGAGTTTTCAAGGCTGTAAATCTTTACCAAAGCTGACTGTCTTATCCTTTTCCTTTAAAATGCTTGTAATTTCTCCCTTAGAGCATCTTGTGGGTCCAAACTGCCAACCTTTTTGGTTAGCAGCTGAATTGTTTAGCAACTATGTCACCCAGGCTCCTTAATACCTTGTTATTGTTAGGTGCCCTTGAGCCAGTACAAATCATAGCGACCCTGTGGACAGCAGATCTGAACCCTGTCCTTTTCTGTGCATCCCCACAATCTTTGATACACTCAGTGCATTGCTGCACTGATTGTGTCAACCCACGTGATTGAGGGTCGTCTTCTCCTTCACTGTCACTCCACCTTTCAAGCATGCTGTCCCTCTCCCAGGTAATAACCTCTCCTAGCAACATGCCCAAAGCATGGGAGACAAAACCTCTAATGTCAAATTCCTTAGTAACTAGTGTCTAAAAATTTGTACAACATAACACATTTTTTTAAATTTTTATTATTTTTGTGTGTGCGTGTACCGTCAAATCAGATCTGACTGGTACAGGAGGAGATTGTCCCTCCTTCCCCGGCAGAGCATCTGGTGGGTTCGAACCGTGCCCCTCTGGGATTGTAGTTGCAGTTCCTTGCCACTAGGCCACCAGAGCTCCCCAACATAACACATTTTAACTGTCATTTTTAAACTTTGTTTAATAAAATCTATATTATGAAAACGTATTCCAGTTTTATGTAAATTTTGGTTTCCTTTTGTTGGCACAGGCTTTAATTTACTATTTTCAACAGTTATTTTTCCTCAACAGGTAAAATACCTTTTATTCATGTGGGAAATCAAGTTGTTTCAGAGCTTGGTCCAATAGTCCAGTTTGTTAAAGCGAAGGTAATAAGATATTAAATGAATTTTATCATAGTGACTCTTAAATAAGCCTTCCAACATTCTTTAGCATATTGTCAACATTTACAGTGATTTTTAACGTAGTTTTAGAAAATAGTAGTGTAAACTTCTGGAGAAATAACTCTAAATACAAGGTGCATCTGTCCCCATAATGTAAATCAGTGACAGAAGCAGTAACTTGATCTTTCCAAAATGGAATTGTCTAACTTATGCTTATGAGAATTTTGGTCATAAATTAAAACTATTAGATTGTTATAAAATCGGATTAATCATTGAGAAGGAAAATAGAACATGTTTAAAGGTTAATTGTGCTTAAGACATGCATTTTAATGATTCTACTTTTTATTTATTTGGTTTGGATTTTAATAGTTATCTAAGGATGAATGCTATTAATATTTTATGAACCATCCTTCTAAAACTTTGTGCATATAAAGAAATTATACTAGGCTATTTCATGGAAAGTTATAGATACTTAGAAGGATGGCAAGTTAGCAAAAGAGAGGAAGGTCCCCAAGGAAATGGATTGACATGATGACTGCAACAATGGACTCAGGTGTATCAGAGATGATGAGAATGGCACAAGATAGGACAGGATTCAGATCTGTTGTCCATAGAGTTGCCATGAGTCACTCTTGACAACACTTAACAACTAGAGATATATGTTCTTTCACAACCTGCTTTTAAAAGTAATCATTGTATTTGAAAATCACCAGTGTTTTGAAATTTTTCCATCCTAATGATTGTCATTCTTTTTCATTCTTTTAAGTCATTGTATATAATTTTGTTGTATAGATATGTTATAATTTACTTACTCAAGCTTTTATTGATGAGCCTTTAGATTGTTACCACTTTTTTTTTTTGTTAAAAGTAATTCTAATATAAATATTCTTGTACACAAACATTTGCACCTTTATCTGATTATCTTCTTAGGATAAATTGTTAAGAGTAATAGTGAATGATACTACAGTGTTGTATGTACTTTTCGGACCTTAGATTGCCAGATTCAACTGAAAATTATATCTTCTTATGGATCTATCAGTTATTATGGTATATTGTTAGTTACTGTTGAATTATCTCAGATATGTTTCTCTATACCTTTACTGATGCTGTTTTCATCATCACCATTTTATAAGCAATGTGTTAATAATTTAGCATTTCTTACTGCAGTAAGTTTAGTCTCTTAAGGTTTACTAAATCATTCAGATTTTTTATTTTGTGAAATAATTGTTAATACAATTTTGTCCACTGAAAAACACTTTTTTGTAATGAAAAAGAAATACTAATAATGGATATAGTGTTAGCAGAATAGTAAATAGTCCTTCCTATATAAGAAATTTGTTTTTGAAACAATTTTGGAAATTAATCCATTGGATATTTCTAGTAGAAACATTGATGTTATATTACTTGGCCGTAAGATATATGAAAGTTTTTGTGTGTTTAATATGATGCTTTTAAAAAATTTTTTAAATTCCCTTTAGGGCCATTCACTTAGTGATGGACTGGATGAAGTCCAGAAAGCAGAAATGAAAGCCTACATGGAATTAGTCAACAATATGCTGTTGACTGCAGAGGTATAATACAAGATAATAGGGCTTCAAAGTAAGCTCCCCACACACAATATATTTAAGTATTATTTTAGTTATTGAGAAGTTAAAAAAAACAGTCAAGTAATTATTGGTTTTGTGAACAAGTTCCCTAACATTTCTAATTTCTAGTTTTTCTGTTATGAGCAGTGATGATTCTTGCCTACTCAGTATTTTATTTCAGCCTTGTGAAATTTACTTAAATTATATCTATAGAATACTCTAATGATATTTAGAGAGATGTACTATACAGATAAGGAAATATTTTTATAAAGTATTATTAAATGTACTTATACTATCACAATATTGATATAGATGGCAGAGATGACGAGGATGGCACAGGATAGGAAAGGGTTCATCTCTGTTGTTCATAGGGTTGTGTGAGTTATACTTGACTCAGTAGCACCTAACAACAACAACATCATCAATAGTAATATTGGCTGGAGGGGAAGAACCTTTGCTTAATAAAAAATTACCATGACAAGAAAAAGCTTCTTTTATTCATTTTTATCTTCGGTATCCTAAAGTTTTCATGACTGTTCTTTTGTTTCTAGCTGTATCTTCAGTGGTGCGATGAAGCTACAGTAGGGGAGGTGAGTGGTTCTGCAGCATTTATCTTAATTAAAATTTAATGAGAAAACACTTTTGCTCAGAATCGCAAGTCCCTGCTCATAAATGAAACATTGTGGTTTATACCATTAGTGATATAGTTTTTCACTTACTTTAATTTTGCTTGCACATACAATTTAGAGAAGCTATGTGTCATTGTTTGATATAGCTGGTTGCAGAGTACATAAAAGTTTATATATTTTTAAAGTGAATGGTTTAAAGTTTAATTTTTTAGACTGCACACTGTGTACTTTTCCAGATTGTTCAGTTTGTATTCTTTGAAAATATATTTCCTTAAAATTTTATTAGTGTAAACAGTCTTTTTTTAGGAAGAACTGTGTTTTTACCAGATTTTTTTTTTCTTTAGATTACTTATGCTAGATATGGATCTCCTTACCCTTGGCCTCTGAATCATGTTTTGGCCTATCAGAAACAATGGGAAATCAGACGTAAGATGAAAGCTATTGGATGGGGTAACAAAACTCTGGACCAGGTCAGTTCAGGTTGAAATTGAAGTGTTACACTTTTATACACTATACAATTTGTTATTTTGTTGTGATAGTATTTTTTTAACAAATCTACACATAATATAAAGTTAGCAAAACAAACAGAATGAATGAAAAAGGAATTAAAAACAATTAGAAAAAAAAATAAAAAACCCATGAGCTTCTTGTAAAGTGGACTTGGGGGGATTATATAACAATGAAAAAATTTTTTTATTTCCAAAGAGAAAAGCGTGGGGGGGGTGGGCAGGGAGGAAAATGTACAATAATGAATGAATGGAAATCCATGTCCTATATAAACTTTCATTAAAATCTCAGCAAAAAATTTGCTAATTATTCTGACATGAAAGTTATTATATAATTCATTTTTTAAAGTTTGATTTATTATTAGTTTTAATGAAAATTTACAGGGACTTTGTATTTACATTCATTCATTGTTGCACTTTTCTCTCACTCTTCTCTTTGAAAAGTAAAACAAAAATTCTTTCATTGTTTTACAATTCCTCCTACCAGGTCTACTTCAATATACAGCCTTCGATCTGGACTCATACCTAATCACATATCCCTTTTACACAGTTTTCTCCCTCATCTTTTTCAATGCAGTATACATTGTTTATCCCATCTTTCTCAGTCTCCCCCCCAACTCCTGATGTCAATCAAAATGGGTGGCCCCGGAGGACATTATGCTGAGTGAAATATCTCAGTCACAAAAGGACAAATACTTGATAATTCATTTTATAAAAATCACATAATTAGTATAAAAATACATATATAATACAGAAAAATTTTTAAGGATATGAAAACTGACTACAGTTGTAGAAATCTAGAAATTGTTACTGTTAGCTTGAAGAGCATTTTCCTAGATGTGTCCATTTTTTAAGATAGGCTCATATTATATCTGCCACTCTACAGCCTATACATTGTGGGCATTTTTATGTTAATAAATATAGAACTGCTCCTTCAGAGCTTTAAAGGAAACCAGAAAACACTCCCTGTTAATATAGTGCTTAATATATCTAAGTGTTTTTCTTTGGTTCTATATTTACTGAAATAGCAAAATGTGAAAAGTATATCTTGTGAAGGTCATGGTTTTGAGCATCATTAAGCTAATTAACGTCCCTCCTTTTTCCTAATACTAGCCAGCCGTCTCACTGATGTGTGCCATTGACCACAAGGGGGATTGAGTAAATGAATAGGGTTTAGTGAATAAAATCCATCACTGTTAGTGGGGAAGCAAGTCAAATGTTTTAATTCTGATAGGTCAGTAAGGTCGTTTATGAATGAGATAATATATATGCAGAGTCATTTGAAAATAAAGTTCAGGGAAAATATTTCTTCGGGGAGTAGAGTTTTGAGAGAAAAACTTTCTCAAAGATCGTTCTTATATTGTAACTTAAATATACTTGCATTTAAAGGGAGTTTGCTCTCAATTTTTCTGTTTCTTATATAAAGAATAATGTTTATGGTGTATTATGTAGTCTGTATAACACACTGCTATTGCATTGCTCATGAGTCCTGGCACTCTCCATCATGTTTGTGAGGTTGTAAATCTTGGCAGAAGGAGACTGCCTCATCTTTCTTTCATGGAGTGGTTGGTTGGTAAATATGAACAACTGACTACCAGCCCACATGGTCTGACCATAATCCACAGTGCCACCAGCTCCTGATATCGTCTGTAAATTGATTAAACATAAAAGGTAAGACTAATTTATGATTTGGTTATAAAATATTATTCATTTGTTCACTTAAATGTTTGTTTTTCTTTGGGAACTGTTGTCGTTGCTAGGTGTTGGAAGATGTTGACCAGTGTTGTCAAGCTCTTTCTCAGAGACTGGGAACACAACCATATTTCTTCAACAAGCAGTAAGAAATTTTTTCTTTCATGATAAAGATTGTTTTTTTCAACAAGAATAAACCATTCATACACAGTGAAATAATATTTTAAAATTATTTTCCATGTAATCTAACACATAATAATTCAGAAAACAATTCTGATTCAATAAATATCTATTATTTACATAAAGATTTAGTTCTTTAGCATTCATGTTTATTTACACTTATTAGATATTTATTTAGCAGTTCTTGTATGTCTCGCAGAAAGCTAGGCTCTGTGAGACCAGTATTTGGAATTGTTACTGTATAATATGATAAAGTTCTGATAAAGGTAGTTATATAAAGGAGTTATATGGACTCTGAAACTTGCTTTGAAATGTCGAAAAACTAAAGCAAAGGAAGAGTAATGAAGAAAACTGAGCAAATTTCAAAGAGTACTCAGGAAGACAAAGTAAAATTGTTGTTGTTGTTATGTGCCACGTAGTCACTTGTGACTCATAGCGACCCTGTGTACAAGAGCACTAAACGCCATTCTATTCTGTGCCAACCTCACCGTCTCGTCTCAAACGCATTCATTTCCACCACTCCAGTCACAGAGTTGACCCATCTCATCAAAGTACTTCCTCTCCTGCACAGCCCATCCACTCTGCCAAGCATGATGTCCCTCTCCAAGGACCAGTCCCTCCTTGTAACATGCCCAAAGTATGTCAGACGAAGCTTCAGAATCCTTGACTCCAAGGACCATTCCGACTTCACCTTCTCTAGGACAAACCTGTTGGTTCTCCTAGCAGTCCATGGTATATTCAACACTCTTCTCCAGCACCACAACTCAAAGGCCTCAATTCTCTTTTTGTCATCCCTATTCACTGTCCAACTCTCTGACGCATAGCACATAATTGCAAAGATTATAGCCCGGATCAGGTGCACCTTAGTCTCCATCCTGACATTGTTGCTCTTCAGTAATCTTGAGAGGTCCCTCACAGCTGACTTTCCCAATACAATTCATCTCTTGATTGCCGGGCTGCTGTTACCAAGAGTGTTGACTGTGGAGCCAAGTAAACTAAAACTGTTAACTATCTCAATCTCTTCACCATCCGTACTGATGCTGCCAGTTGGCCCAGTGGTGAGAATCTTTGTTTTCTTGATACTGAGTTTTAATCCATATAGGAGGCTACAATCCTTGACCTTCTGTAGCAAGTGCTTCAGGTCCTCCTCAGTTTCAGCAAGCAGGATTGTGTCATCTGCATAACCCAGGTTGTTGATGACTCTTCACCAATCCTGATGCCACATTCCTCTTGTACAGCCCAGCGTTTCGGGTGATCTGTTCTGCATAAAAGTAAAATAGTAGAAGGAAATATGCAAATATCTATAATTAGGAAACGAAAAGGGAAGAATATACTCAGTATTTCTGATGCTGAATGAAGTAAAGAAAAAAATTCCAGGCTTGAGTTGCAATATTGAAGCATTCTATAGGAAAAGTATTGAATAATGCAATAATATGGAAGGAACATAGTTTCTGTACCAAAAAGAATTAGTTGATTCTCTCCCTTTTGAGAAGAAAGTATATGATAAAATTGAAATACCAATTGGATATTTCAGCAAATGTGTGCAGCACTGGATATGCTCACTTATTTATGGCAAGAAATTTGAAAGACTACCCGCCTAACGAGCTTGAAGAGATCCATATTTGTGCCCATTGCAGAGAAAGAAAAGGTGATGCAGCAAAATGTGGAAATTAGGTACCATAAAGACCAAACAAGAACTAAAATCTTGCATAAGATTTCAAAAATGGCTGGAGCAGTATATTGACTGGAAACTGGTGAGCAAGTCGAGCTAGATTCACTAGGGGATGTAGAATGAGGGGTATCATTGCTGACACCAGATGGATTTTGGCTGTAAGCAGTGAAAATAAGAAAGACGCTGATCTACGTTTTATTGAATATATACAAAGACTCTGTGGATCTTAACATATTATGGATACTGGTGGGAAGAATGTGAATTCCAGAACACTTAATTGTGCTCATAGGGAACCTGTAAGGAGTTACTCAAACAGAACAAGATGATACTGCATGATTTAAAAGGGGACCGTTTGTGTGAAGGTTTTATCATTTCATCATTATTAGTCTGTTTGCAGAACAAATAATCCAAGAACCTGGCCTGTTTGTAGGTGAATGTAGCATTATGATTGGAGGGAAATTAGTAACAATTTGTGATAGGCAGTTGACATCCTTGCTTGCAGAAAGTGAAAAGGACTTGAAGTACTTACTAGCTGCAGAAGATCAGAGTACAGCCTTTAATATGGATTATATCTGAATATAAAGAAAACAAAAATCCTTACAACTATACTTAATAGTAGGTATAACTTTATTGAATTTTCAGTGATTTTATTTTACTTTGATCTGTGTCAGAAGCATCAGTCAAGAAATCAAACAACATAGTGCATTGGGCAATTTGCTAAGGATCTCGTTAAAGTGTTAGAGAGCAAAGATACCACTTTGAAGACTAGCTGTGGTATTTTCACCTGCCTTATAAGTATGTAAAATTGGGATAGTGAATTGGAAGATTAAAGAAGAATTGATATGTTTGAATTATGTTGGTAAAGGATATTGAATATACCCTGGGCTGCCAGAAGACCAAACACATCTATCTTGGAGAATGCACTTTAGGAGTGAGGGTGGCAAATACTCTCTTGTACTTGTTATCAGCTGGGACTAGTCCTTAGTGATACATATCATGCTTGGAAAAGGAAAACCCCTAGGTACTGCCATCAAGTTGATCACGACTCATAGTGATCCTCTCTCAGTTTCTTTAGTTGTAAATTTTTATGGGATGAAATTACCCATTTTTCTCCCATGGAGCAGGTGGTAGATTCCAACCACCAACCTTTGAGTTAGCTTCACAGGGTATAATGCACTATGCTAGCAGGGCTCCTTTGGTGAAGTCAAGGTCAGTAAAAAAGATTGTTAAGGAAGTGGATTGACACAGTGGCTGCAACAGTGGGCTCTGCAACAGTGGGCTCAGGCATAACAGTAACAATTGTGAGAATGGCCTAAGACTAGGTAGCATTTTGTTTTGTTTTGCATAAGGTTGATAATGACTTGAGCATGTAATATCAACAATGTATTAAGGACTGTGAACTTTTAACAAAATTCTAAACTTACAAAGTTCGGTTTAAACATGAAGATACTACCAGTGTCACTTTAGAGGTTTATTATCTTGGCATGGTATAATAAAAAATGAATAAAAATAAAAAAAATTGTTGAGTGGGTCTACATTGTTATTCATTTACCTATCTCTTAAAGATTAATGAAACTATTTGTACAAAAATAAAAACGATCATCTGTTAAGCATATATGTGTAATATATATAAACTGAGGAATTCATGTTTCATTAAAAAAGAATATTTTTGCAACCTGAGAAGAAAGTGTGGTTAAAAATGAATTTTCTTCCTTTACAAATGTTTTTACAATTTTAGTATCTTAGAATTGATCTACATTAAAATGAGCTAAAATTAACATTTTAATTTCAATAGTTAAAATAATTCTAATCATTTCTTGGATTCTTAAGAAAATCTTACTCTATAGATTTCTTATAATAATCTTTGTTTTAAACAATAAGGTTTTAAAAGTTGCTATTGTTTATTTTTGTCTTCAAAGGTATTCATCTTCTGTAGCATATCAACTGTTGTTTCGGTAGAGATTTTATAATTTGTACTAAAAATGACCATAGTAGTAGCTTGGAAGTATTTAGATTATAATATAAGTAATGTGTAACTGCATATAACTGATACTTAACTAAAATTTGGGGTCTGTTGATCTCTGGAGCAGAAAGGTCACAGAGTTCAAACCATAAAATCCTGATAGCTAAAGCTTCTTGCAGCTATGTTTCTAGTCATGTTTGCTGTGCAGATTTCATTTGTTTTGTCTCTAATACAAAGGAAATGTATCCATATGTTAGTATTATATACTTCTTTTTCTTTCTGATATAGGAATTCTTTGAAGTTGAAAAGCACAGAAGGGGTTTGTTTTGTTTGAAGTGCATCATTCTGTTAAGACTTGGCTTTGTTATGCACACTATCATCAGGAGGCCAGGAGGATAGATCTAGATTCTTTTTATTTAAATCCACTGCCAAAGAGTTAGTAACCAAGTTTCATTTGGCAAGTAACTGAGGGAAATTGTCAAGGTAACTTTCTTCTTTATAAGGGAGTAATTGATATAAATTTGTAATGAAAATTTCAAAGTTAAAAACATGTGCAGAACCAAAGACTTGCTTTTAGAAAGTGTGCAATTAATATTAAGATGTAGAGTTTGAAATTAGTTTACATGAAGCTTAAACAGAAACATTTTACTCTTCTAACAACTGATTATGGTTGAAGAATGGAATAGATTTCATCTTTAATTTTCATTTTTCCCACTAAGTTAAAGAGAATTTGAAAAAAAAATTATAATACAAGACAAATAGTAACATTAGGTTTATTCTCCTCATATTTCACAATATATATTATTAGTAGCTTTTAAATATTGAAAACATGATTTTGAAACTGAGTCTGCAAGTATTTGTTAAATCTTTCCTGTGATGCTGACGTGATGTCTGTTAAGCTACCTACACAAAGATTATGAGGCAATTAATTCCCTGCCAGGGGATGAACATAGTCTTGGAATGATAATATTGAGGTTTTCCTTAAAGTGTTCATTTTATGTTATTTTCTAATGAAAGAAGAAAATGATTTTTATAAAATTTTTCTTCAGTCTAAGAAGGATAGAAGAGTTGTATTCTAAAATATTTATGAGCACCTTGCAGATTGGATGCCTTCCAAACAAACCCTGTTAGCTAGAAGCAGCTCAATAAATGTTGGTTAAACCAGATTAAATTGAATGAAGAATTAGACTTGAAAAAGAAAAAAAAATGTTACCAAGTACGAAGAAAAAGGCAATATTTGCAGGTACATATTTGTATGTTGATTAGGGATGTAAAATGAGTGTAGACAGCATGAGGATGGCGAAGTCTGATATCTACTAAGGCCACAAAGGGGAAATGTCCTAATCATAACATCACAGTACAGAACTAATTCCTGTAAGGTCAGACATGTTCTTTCATGCTCCCGCACCTACTTCTGCTGATTCCAACACCAATCTTGACTGCTCTGCTGAGTCTGAAATTTGTTGCAGTAACTATACAGACTTCATGGAACTAAAGTCAGCATTATGGGGTTCATTGGGGAAGTTAACAGGCTATAATTCTATTTGGCATCAAGATAAAATCCATGCAGACAGCATCTCAAGTGTGAGGTCAGTGTTAACAGAGTTCCCATAGTCCTATCAGTTATTATCTCTTCCTTCAGTCATCCAGCAACCTTGGGTGAAAGCCTCTACCTCTGGTTCAGTGGGGCAGCAATTCCAAGTCTGGTGTCAGTCTCTGGTTCTCTGCTGAGGCTGCTGTTCCTTTTGTCCAGATTGTGGCCTGGCTAACATAGCAATCTCTGACCCAGGAGTACACACACTGCTTCCTCTTCCTTGTTGGTGTGGCAATTTCCAATTTCTGCTGCTGAATAGACTTAATGGCAAGAGTAGCCAACTCTCCCTATGGATAGACTCACATGCCCTAAGAGTAATAGCCTAAGAAAACAATTTTTAAAAAATAGATCCACAACATCACAGAGGAGCATTGAGGAAATAGTGCAAAAAGAAGGAGGAGGAAAAACTCTGGTCTTAAAATGGAAAATTTTAGGGGAGGAATGGGGTCTTATTAGAGTTTAGTCAATTAAGAAATTGCTGCCTTAGAAAAGAAAACTCAAGCAAGATCCACATCTCACTCACTACACAAAAACCAACTCAAAATGGTTCATGGACCTAGGACTAAAACCAAGGACTATAAACTTCATTAGAGAAAAGTTTGGGAGAACTCTAGAAGTCCTTATCCACAACATAAACAGTCTTTCAAGCATCCTGAAAAAGCTAAGCCAGGAGAGGATAAAATAGATGAATGGGACCTACTAAGAATCAAATCCCTATGCACATCCAAAACCTTCTCCAACAGAGTACAAAGGAAAGCCACAGACTAGGAAAAAATATTTGGTAATGACATGTTTGACAAGGGACTTATATCTAGAATTTATCAATTACTCGAGCATCACAACAAGATAAACAACTCAGTTGCAAAATGGGCACAGGATATGAACAGACACTTCACCAAAGAAGACATTCAGGTGGCTAACAAGCACATGAAGAAATGTTCAAAATCCCTAGCTCTAAGAGAGATGCAAATCAAAACTATGAGGTATCACCTCACTCCAGTAAGAATAGCAAAATTTAATAGAACAGCAAACAACAAATGCTGGCGAGGTTGTGGAGAAACTGGAACCCTTATTCACTCTTTTGGGAGTGTAAAATGGTACACCCATGTTTATCGCGGCTTTGTTCACAATAGCAAGAAGTTGGAAACCCAAGTGCCCATCAACAAACGAATGGATAGAGCTGTGGTATATTCACACAATGTCATACTATGCTGCCTTGAAAAACAAGGATATTACTCAAAATGGGTGACCCTGGAGAACATTATGCTGAGTAAAATATCTCAGTCATAAAAAGACAAATACTGCATAGTGCCACTGTTGAAGAATGGGACTGACGTTTAGGGTTGCGGTAAGACTGAGAAAAACTGGATAGATTATGTATACTGAATTGAAACAGATGAGTTTAAAAGTGATATATGATAGCATATTATGATTATCACAGGAATCCAGAATTAAGGTTGCATAGTGGAGTGCATTTGGGGCGGGTGGGGGGATGGGGATGATTGTATACCAACAAAGAAGTTTATCTTTTGCTTTTCAAAGAGAGGAGTGAGCGGGGGGGAGGGGCAGAGAAAAAAGTGCAACAATGAATGAATGGAAATCCAAAATCTCTGTAAATGTTCATTAAAATTAATAAAATGGTACAACTGCTATGGAAGGCAGTATGGCGCTTTCTCAAAAAGTTGCAAATAGAAATACCATTTGACCCAGCAATTCCACTACTGGGATTATAACTCAAAAAAAACATAACTGCCACCCAAGTAGATACATGCACACCCATGTTTATCGCAGCTTTGTTCACAATAGCCAAGAGTTGGAAACAACCTGTATGCCATCAACAAACAAATGGGTAGAGGAGCTGTGGTATAATCACACAATGGAATACTATGCTGCACTGAAAAACAAGGAACTCATGAAATATTCTTCAAAATGGGTGACCCTCGAGGACATTGTGCTAAGTGAAATATCTCAGTCACAAAAGGACAAATACTGCATAGTGCCAATATTGTAAAATGGGACTGACATGGAGGGGAGAGACTGAGAAAGATGGGATAAATAATGTATACTGCATTGAAACTGATTTAAAAGGGATATGTGATTAGGTACTATTGTCATGACAGGAGTCCAGAATGAAGGCTGCATAGTGGAGTGGACTTGGGGGAAGGGATTGTATAACAATGAAAGAATTTGTCTTTTACTTTGCAAAACAGGTTCACATTGGTTGTGTTGAAAAAGGTAGGGAGAAAACATTAGATGTTGAGGTTGAAGAAATGAACAGGTCACATTATCGAGGTTTTGTGTGGTAATGGTAAGGAATTTGACATTGTAAGTGGAATGGAAATCCTTGGGATTATTTTAAGCTTGAAATAGTATGATCTGGTGACATTAAAAATAAAAAAGACTTTGGCTGCTGCCTGGAAATGAATAGAAGCAGAGAGATGTATTAGGAGGTTATTGTAATGATCCAGAGAGCTCGAATGGCTTAGTGAGGAAGGAATTGTGCTGCCAGCCAAAGGCAGGTGATATAGATCCACCAGCTGCTCAGCAGGAGAAAAATAGGCAGCCTCCTCCTGTACTTTTTGCAGCCCTGAAAACCTGCTGGAGGGTCAGCTGTGCATTGGCTCCAGTGGCAGTGAGTTGAGTTGCAGTGGTCCAGATAATGGTAGCTTATCCTAGAACATGGTGAATGAATTAGGTGATGGCTTTTAATAGTATGTTTCAGAGGGAGTGTTTCATTAGATTTGTTGGTATGGATATACAAAATACCATGTACAATCTTTGGTATTTTGACATCACTTTGTGCATCTCTTAAAGGACTTAATAAACTGTGTTGTGGTAGTTTATGTTTTGTGTCTGTGTCTTAGAGAAAACATCTTTCTTCTTTTACTGTCTTTGACATCTGTTGTAGTTCCTGCCACATTTAACACGTTGCCGCACACTTTTAAATTGACAACCGTGCTTAGAAACACATTTGCCGTCATTTGCGGCAGCGTGTTAAGAAGCTTGCTATTTTCAGTGAATAAATTAATAAAAATAATACTGTCAATTGCAGCTATATTATACAACAGATTTTTTATACAACAAATTTTATTTTGCTTTATTTCAGAAAAATGGCTTTTAAAAAATTGTTATTATACTAGCAGATTATAATTTAAAATACTTGTTTTTCTTACTTTATCATGCCTTTCACTGCTGTCAAGCCAGTTAAGACTCGTGTTAACTCACTAAGGGGCTTCTGAAATTGTATGTTTTGGTGAGAGGAGAATGCTCATCTGTCTCCTACTGAACAACTATTTGAACTGCTAAACTTTTTGGTTAGAATGTATATATAGTATCCTGTGCTAACAGGGCTCCTATGTCTCATAATGAGAACTCAATAAAATTCTATTAGATTGGTGATGAGTATTTTCTTCTGTGACTTGTTTCTTTTAGATTAGTGATTTAAAATCTTTTTTTTTACAGAATATATTTTATCCCAAATAATAGAAATCCTATTCATGATACTTTTATTTCTGCTTTCATTTTAGGCCTACTGAACTAGATGCACTGGTATTTGGTCATTTGTATACCATTCTTACCACACAATTGACTAATGATGAACTTTCTAAGAAGGTGAAAAACTATAGCAACCTCCTTGCTTTCTGTAGAAGAATTGAACAGCATTATTTTGAAGATTGTGGTAAAGGTAGACCATCTCTCAGGTTGTCCTAAAGTTCCTTTTTAATTTAATTTTTAAAATCTAACTTTGGAAATAAGTATCATTGAATGCTACAATAGAAAATGATATCAGCGTTTTAAAACCAAAAACACTGTTTTGGAAACCTCAAAACAAATTATTTAATGTCTCCTTTATGTACTTTCTATAATTTTTCTGTACACATTAAAATAATTTCTTAATTATTCCAATTGATTTAATCTATTGAAATTTTTGTTTCCTTGAAACGTATATGAATATAGAAAAAATAAAGCTTAATAACTACATGGATGTTATATTTATTTTCTTTTGTAAATCACTGAGTTTTATACATTTGGAATAAAGAGTGTCTTTTCAAAGGCCAGTGATATGTGTTATATGTTAGGTGTTTTTGCTGTGTATATGGTGAATCTGATCATAGGAAAATTTTTTATTTTTTAATTTAGCACCATCTTTATTGGTATTATTTCATTAATATAACAAAAGGGAAAAATCTCTTGTTTTCAAAAAGGGTCATATTTACAGGTATAAGGGACAGGAATTCAACACATATTTTTGGATTACACAATTCAATCCTTAATACCGTCCAGTTGAAAACTGGACAAGACATTTAAATAAACATTTCACCCGAAGAGCTGTGTTAATGCAAGTGAGCACATGAAAAGATGCTCAGTGTGGATACTTACTAGGGAAGTGAATGTTAAATATATACTGCTGTATCACCATAGACCCACTTGAATTACCACAATTACAGAAATCTTGATAACAAGTCAGAAAGAGGCTGTGGTAGAATTGACAATCTTACTGGGAGCGGAAGAGCAAAACGATACAGCCCCTTTGGCCAAGTTTGCTGCAGTTTTTTAGAGTTTAAAATACTTAGCACTTACTCCAATCCAACAACCCCACTTCTAAACATATAAAAAAAGAAATAAAACACGTTCACACAAGGGCCTATACTCAAATATTCATAGGAGCTTCTTTGTAATAGCAAAAGCTTGGAAACAACTCTAATGTTTATTTACTAATAAAGGACAGCTTTTTCCTCTCCCTTTCTGCTGATAGTATCCTGTAAGGTTTGGTGTCACCCTTATCTTTCCAGGGATCCTCTCCCCCTTTTCCCTTGTCTTTTTCACTTTAACTCTTTTGTATGGCCTTTCACCAGCTACACCCCTGTTTTATTGGTTTTATAAACGTTCTTCACTTATTTTGTTTAATAATAATAATAATAACAAAGGACAGATTTTGTAATATTTGTACAGTGGAGTATTATCTAGCTGTAGAAAGGAATGCAATACAAAGGAATGAAATACTTATATGTGTGACAAAATGAGTGAATCTCCAAAGTAACTGGCATTGTACCAAGCAGTGACATCTGCTTCCTAAACCACATGCCTCTGGAAATGCTGTGTACTTAGAGAACAATGATAGTTATAAAAAGTCTTCAGGTCTTTTGTTCATAGGGTCGCTATGAGTTGTGCTTGACTTGATGGCAATCAACAAGTGAATTAAGCTACCCATATGAGACTTCTTTAAGTATGATTCCATTTTCATCACTTTCCAGAAAACACAACTCTATAAGAACAAGACAGTAGGTGTCATGGATTGAGGGTTTAAGGAAGAAAGTGACTGAAAAGAGACCTAAAAGAACTTTTCTAGATGACAGACATTTCTCATTTCTTATTGGTGTGGAAATACATACATGAGTGTATATATCCTTGTTTAAACTCATAAATTTGTGCACTTAGAAAGTTAATTTTATTATATACTTTGTGAAGTTATTTTTATTTTAAAAAAGGAATTCAACCAATCCTACCCCTTACAGGATATTCAGTTATTCAGAAGCTGTTGACATTATATTTCGACATGGGGTGTATTTCAATATAATTTAGCTCTTTTGGAAATTCCAGCTTTAAAATAGATGCAAGGTTATGAATGATGGATAAGGTTGAAGTAGCTGAGAAATTCTAAGAGAGAAAGAAAGTCTTATATAGAGTCAAGGGTTCTTGAAAATGATAATTTCCAATTAAGGAAAATAAGTAATTCAAGAGCTACGAGCTACCTCCAATAAAAAAGCAGTTTCTCATAAATCTAAACCAATCAGACACCAGAATTTATTATTTTTTTTTAACTGGGAAGAGCTCTGGAAATAAGTGCTCTGACACCAGATTAGTGAATATTTAATAAACTCTTAAATCACTAGGACCATTTTTTTTGGAGATTCATACCAAAATACCTATTAATTTTTTCAAAGGATATTTATATATTGGAAAATTTGAGTAATTGCCTAGAGTTTTGCACACCTAGAGAGAAAAATGTTCTCATTCTTGTCCTCTGTTTTATAAGACAACTTTGTGATTTTATCACTATATAAAATCAACCCTGAGTGGTTAATTTCAAGGTTTTTAGGGAACTCTGATGCTCTAGAGGGAAGGAGCTGCTCTGCCAATCCAAAAGCTCATGGTTCAAATCCACCAGCTGCAGTGGGAGACAGACAATCTCCATTCATGCAGTTTAGTGCCTCTGAAGCCCACTGGAAGATTAGCTATAAGTTGGTTTCAACTCGAAGATATCTTACAACAGTACAAGATTCAATATTTAATTAGTTATTTGGATTTTCTTTTGAATGTTATGAGTTGGTATACCTATGTGAATTGAAAATTATTTCAAGCCTACAGTATGAATATTTTGCTGTCTGACCTATTTTTTTATTATTAAATTTTATTAATTTTAATGAACATTTACAGAGATTTTGGG